ATGGCTGTTATGAGAATTCAAGGAGATAATGTGCTTAGCATAGTTCTAGGTTCAATAAAATAAATATAACAGAATGCTGAAATGGAAATTTTGACCAGGGTTATCAAGATCTAATAGAAGTAAAATTCCAAAGCCAGATCTCAATATGCAGAACTTGCAAAGGAACTGGTCAAAGACAGGTATTGCTTCTCTTAGATCTCTTAGCTTAAGAGTTTAAAAAGAATACAAGGGATGGAATGGAGGAAGGACTTGGCGATGGCATTTTGCTTTTGGAGAAATCTATTGTCACACTTTAAATATTGTCTTTCTTCTTGGGCTTTTTGAGTGGGATCCCAAACCCAGTGAAAAGCAGCTTCAAGATTGATACTGTGAGAGCTGCTCTCGGCAGTTTACTGAGATAATTGAGTTGGCTGAACACAGATGTCTGACTCATGTTGTCTGAGAAGGCTAAAGCAGCCTGTGTCATGACACTAGTCTCTCCCCCCTGTAATAAATTGCTAGGGTAAGCGATGTGTGAGTATTATCTCAAGACCATTAGTGGGCCTCCTACATGAGTAAAAGTGCCTGGTGACCTTAGATGGTCTAGAGAAAATGAGAGTTCTGACCAAGAGAGCTTCTGTTTGAGGATGAGAGGCAATTGGTATTGGAGAGTGTGGTGGGTGAACTGCTGAACAAACTGAGTCCCAGAGGTGGGTGCAGGCAGCCCAAGAAACACCTGCATCTTAGGGAGTACAGTGAGAGATCCTATAGAAATGGAAACACTCCAAATGACTTGCATGGGTGTCAGGCAAGAACTTGAGCATCTGCCAGGAGGCTCAAAATGGGAAGCCCTAAACCTTTTCATCCTTTTCCCTCTTCCTTTCTCTTCTCTGACTCTGGATATGCAGAACCTACAGACAAGGGGAGGGACTGGAAGCAGCTCTAAGCAAAGAAACTGAGAAGCAATCCATACTGCCTTTTCCACTGCTGTCTTTCAGCTGGAGGCAGGCCTGGGATGTGGATGAGTAAACATGACATTCAACCAAGTGCTTTGGTTAATATTTTCAACTGGTCATTCTACATTTGAATTGAGACTGTGATTTTAAGTGAAAGTAGGACTCTGCTACTTAAAATGAGCAGAAAGCCTTTGCTGGAGCTTTCAGCAAAGCTCTTAGCTAGGGGAGTGTCATTCTCATTGAAAACAAATCAAGAGCATTGGGAGGAAAATGAAAGGTTTATGATTAATTATTAGTTGTGCTTGTCTGCTGTAGTGATTACATTATTGTTGTTGATGCTTTTATAGAAAGGCTACTTTCAAACTCAGTATTGTACACTCCAAGTCCTCATTTTTTGTTAAAAAATTTTTTTTGAGAGGTTTTTGCTATAGGGCGCTTGTGCTCACCCGAAAGAAAGAGAAGACAGAGAGACAGAAAGCGAGAGAAATCCCCCCCCCCCCAGGGGGTATGGCCATGCCGCAATCCCTTCTCCTCCGTTCTCCTCTCGGGATCTTGGGCACACACGCACACATGCCTGGCATGAGTTTATGCCACTGGGTCCGGGACTCAAACAGTGGTCAGCTACATGGGAGTCCAGCAACATAAATATTACACCAACTGCTGGTCCCCTAAGTCCTCATTTTTGTTTGATATTTCCCTGCATTTTTCTGACTTATCACACAGCCCTATTCTATAAGCCAACTCACTCAGATATTTAGAAGGGCATTTTGTAACCAGGTTTCTTGCAGTGTTTACCAGAAAATTTATTTGCTTGAAGTTAACATATGTACCTAACTGAGAATTTTTGTATGCAGGGTAAAAATGAAGTAGCATTTACCTTAATAACTTTCCAGGCTGAAATAATTTAATGAAAAGTACCATGACATGACAGTTAGGAGACTTGATCTTCTGTTTGTCCATAGACAAGCAGATATGCTTTTTTAATTTTAAAAAATTATGTGTGTGTATATATATATATATTTTAATGATGGAGAGAATGCATGTTTAAGAGAAAGAAACCTTGAAAGGGTCTTATCACACTACAATCAATTTTGCCTAGCACTCCAGCTCCTTAGGATCTTAGACTGCTGCACATGCATGCCCAATGCTTCAGGACAGTCTACAGATCCAGACCCATGATTATTCAACCATGTGGCTTCCAGTATTGCAGTCCAGAATGCTATAGATCAAGCCATTTAGGCTGGGACTAACATTCTTTTAAACTGATGTGTGATACACATAATAAAAGTGCACAAGTCATAAGAATTTAGTTTGATGAATATACACAAAGTGCATAGTCATATAACCAGCACCCACTCAAGAAATAGAATTTTGCCAACACCTGAATCACTCTCACTTCTCGTATCAGTGATTTTGCTTTGTTTTTAATCTTTTTAATAGTGGAACCATATTTTTGTGTTTGTGAAATTCATTCATTCATGCTGTGTATAGCTATAGTTTGTTTATTTGGAAATCTGTGTCATATTCCACTAGCAAATATACAACAATTTACTAGTCAATTCCACTAGTTTTTAGTTGGTAGACATTTGGATAATTTTATTTATCAGTTGATGTACATTTGGACTATTTTAAGGTTTAGACTCCTACAAACAGTGATACCAAAAGCATTCATAAGCATGTATTTTGGTGGATATATTGTGCATTTTTGTTGATTTTATACTTGGTAGTGAAATTACTATACTTTAGGTATGAGTACATTCAACTTTAGTAGGTAACAGCAAACAGTTTTCCCAAGTGGCTGTAAAACTTAAACTTTTATCCACTGTGTATAAGAAGTAACTCCATTTTCTTGTCAGCACTTGATATTGTTTGTCTTTTCATTTAGCTATTCTGGTGTGAGCCAGTTTCTTTTATTTATTTTTTTGGGGGGAGGGAGAGGAATCTTGTCCTAGCCATTGGCATGCCCCCATTAATCCTCCATGCAGGGTTTGGGATGTCTTCTACTTGGTCTTCTTTCCTTTCATGAGAGCATTGCTCTAGCTCGATGGATTATTAAAGCATAAGGGTCTATATTTAGTGGGGAACTGAGAATAGCTATATTCATGGTGAATGCTGCTCAATACTTATCAATAACTCTGCCAAGTGAAAGAATAGATACGAAGTGCATTAGTCAATATTTTGAATGCAAGGGCAGAAAGCCCAATTCAAACTCGTTTAAACAAAAACGTAATTAATTGACTTTTGTAGCTGAAAAGCCAGGCTTGGCTGACTCCAGGGGCTAAACATCACTTTCTATATCAAGACTGCTTTCCACTGGGCTGCTGCTTCTCTTGAGCAAGCCTGATCTCTGCCTGGGGGCAAGGGTTCTACCAATAACAGCAAACTTCCAGCAGGGCAAAAACAAATAGACAACAGCAGCAAATCTCATTGTGCCTTTGTGGAGCTGCCTAGTACACATTCTGGAAGCAAGACTTTTAGGCTGTAATTGCCCAAATTGTGCCTTCCTTAGCTCATGATGTGCATCGGGTCTCTCTGAATCACACACTCCAAGAAGACCATTGATTCTCTAAGGAAAATTGGGGTGCTGTTAACAGAAGGTACAATGGTTGGTGCAGGTGCAAGTCACAAAACAGTCACTACAAGTCAGACTACCTAAAACTGATGCAATCTGTTTGTTCCTATGGCTGCAGCAGGATTTATGCTTGGATTAAACAATACTGCTGGAAAGTTGGATATGTGGACCACATCATTTTAGGCCCTGTGAAATTGCTTTTATTGAACTGTGTTGGGCATTCTGCTATCAGTCTGCATTGAAGGACAGTATAGTGAATGACCCTGTGGAATTCCTTAAATTATTGTAACATTATACTGAGGACATTGTTCTTGTTTGGTCTTCGTGTTATGGGATTTTATGGGAGAAATTTCTCCCTCATCTCCACACCAGGTTAAGTTGAACTATTTCTAAACATCATTCTTCTGAGATTTTTATCTTATGGACACTGTGATTCCTGAAACCGACAAGATTTCCTTCGTTGCTTTGCAAGAATGATAGAATCACCTTTATGTTCTATGTATTTAATCTAGTATATAAGATATATATATATATACATATATATATATTCCAGTATGGCTTTTTCTTCATAGTTGTTTATTTATTTATTACACTTTCAACCACTGTATATCATTACATCTTGTAAAATGAATTTTCCCATCATAAATACACTATATATTAATCCATTAAACATATTATTTTCAGCAGCTTTTTTTAGGGGTAATTTCACTCCCTTATTTTATTTTGAAAAAGGTTTCCCTATTTTTTCTTCTCAGAGTGAGAGAGATAGATAAAGAGAGACAGAGAGACAGGTACTCCGCTCCCCCATCAGGATCTTCTTACTGTTCTTCACCCCCAACTTCAGCCAACCCCAGATCATGGGCACTTACACTCTTGGTGTGTTCAGAGAGATCTCTAGTCACAAGCCTGGAACTTTCTCATGTGGGTCACACAGAGCATTGTGTTACTGCTTTGCCACCACCTAGCCTGGCCCCGCACTCCTTTATTTTTATTTATTTTATTTTATTTCACTTTTTTTGGTATGTCTTTTGTTAATGATAAAGTGTGTGTGCAAGCATGTGAGAATGTGAGAGAGAGATGAGCACCCTACATAGGATCTGGTCATATTGCCACCCCCTTTTTCCAGTCCTCCAACCCAGTAACTCTTTGGCACTTGCACATCTGCCATGCATGTTTCAGGCTCACCAGGCTGGGGAATCAAACCATCATTGCCATGTGCGATCCAGTTTGTCTTGAGCAGCATAAGACTGCTGTGCCATGAGCCAGCTCTGATCCATTATTTTTCAATCTCGTATTTCTTCAGTCTGATATGTCAGTTTATTTATTTTTTCCCCTTTTTCTATTTATTTATTTTCCTACGTATTCTTTGTAAACTTCTTTAAGTATTTTCTGAGACAAAGTTGAGAAGTACATAGAATTCATGAAAATTCCATTCTGTGCATTGAAAATGTCTTAACAAGAAGTTTATTAATAGGACTTATTTTGGGTTCTAGTTTTAGATGAAGGAGTTGTAAAACACTACAGAATAAGAAGATTGGACGAAGGGGGTTTTTTCCTTACTCGGAGAAGGACCTTTTCAACACTGAATGAATTTGTGAACCACTATACCAAGAACAGTGATGGCCTGTGTGTCAAGCTGAGAAAGCCATGTTTAAAGGTGAAGTGCATTCAAGTTATGGTCATTTATTTTTGAATTTAAAATTTTCCCACTAGATATTTGAGCATTTGTTATACAATATCAGCTCAGAGAAGAAAAAAAAAGAAGTCATTTAATTACCTAAGGCAGAGATAGACAGACAATGGCCCATGAGACAATACCTGTTATTTTATAAATAAGTTTAATTAGAACAGACATGCTCATTCATTTACTAATTGCCTTTGGTTGCTTTTGTGCCATAACAGAAGAGTTTAGTAGTTATAACAAACAGTATGGCAGCAGTCTAGACCATGAACTCTATGAGGCCAGAGGCCTTGCCTATTTTATTTATAGAATAGCAACCAATTAATACTTAGCAATATTTATTAAATGAGTAAATGAGTGAATGAAAAAAATAAATAAAAATCAAGCTTGAGAAAAGATAAAAAATTTAATTATGCAAAAATATATGATATCTTAATAATGCTATAGTCAAAGGTTTTGGGAAGGATTTGTGGGTGAGGTGGAACTTCAATTTGAACTTGAAATTGGGAGTATTTAGCTAGGCAGGCAGGGAGAGAGAAATCATACCAGACAGATCTGTGTGAGAATGATGTCGAGTGTGGGATGGGACAATGAACACTTAGGTGCCTGATTTAGCAGGATTTAGGGAAAAATCATACAGAAGAGTTAACAAAGCAGATTCTCCCATGTCTGTTTTTAATTGTAAAATAAAATTTAAACTTTTACTTTAAAAAGTACAAGGCTATATTTTTCAACAATAATACAAGTGAAATCTACCTTTTTTCTTACAAGTATTCTTATCATTTTGTGAAATAGGTACAAGTCCCAGCTCCTTTTGATTTATCATACAAGACTGTGGACCAGTGGGAAATAGACCGCAACTCCATACAGCTTCTGAAGCGACTGGGATCCGGGCAGTTCGGTGAAGTCTGGGAAGGCCTGTGGAACAATACCACTCCAGTAGCAGTAAAAACATTAAAACCAGGTGAGGGAATATTGAAAACTAAATAGTAATGACTATGGTTTTTAAAAGAATTATTACTTTTATTTATTGTTATTTTTATTTACTACAGGGCATGTGTGTGATCGTGTGAGAGAGAAAGTGAGAAAGCAAGCCGCCAGGTCTGGGACTCAAACCACGGTGCTGGCCATGTGGGAGTCTCGTAGTACTTTAATGACCATGCCACCCGTTGGCCCTGTATGCTTATTTTTATGAGCTTGGTTTGCCACTATAAATGTTTAAGCGGTCATGGGACAGTTAATACTGACAATAAGAGGATGTCGTGATCCTATTTTTTCTAGCCTAATGACCAATATGGACAAGGTTTTAAAATACAAAAGTAAGAGCATGCTCCCTGGACCCGCGAAATCTTAAAATATCCCCATTCAAGATTCTAACAACACATTCCTTCTTAGAGATAGGAGTCAGTATTTCAATGTCATTCTCTCCCTTTTTCCCTGAGCTTATTAAAAAAAAATAAATACTGATTTAAAATAATGAAATACAAAAATATCAGAAACTCGGTGCTACTCAGGAACAACTATTTCAGTAAATACTAACTTTGAGTGTTAAGAGGTAAACTGAGTCATCTAAAAGTCTTCATATATGGAACATAGAAGCTATTTTTGCTTCCATCTTCCTTCCCCTGTGACTAAGTAAACATATACTAAAAACAGTATCTACTCAGCCAGGCTTCATTTCCTCTACTTTAAAAGTTGGCTAAGAGAATTTAGAGAGAGTGGGTATCTTCCCTAAGACTTATTAGTCATATGCTCTTGAGCACATTTTGAACTACTCTATGCTTAGTTCTATCATTTGCAAAATATATATAATACTAAGGCCCATGTAGCGGGATTATTATGAAGATTAAATTAGGTCATTAGTGGTAATATTTTGCATTGTGCCACATTCATTGTTAAAGTGACCAATGAAGATATTATTACAAAGTCCATAAGTAGTAGAGCTGAGATTTGAACTGACGTTCATCACCACTGTATCAAACCTTATGGAAGTAACATTCCCCCAAAGAACATCATTGTGATTGCCTCTTGTTTACTTCTGATAACGTAGGTAAGAATGATAGGCTAGACTATAGTTCCCTGATAGTCATCATTATTTACTTAGTCCAGAATCCTTAGGATTTGAAAAACTCCACGGTGGCAGAACTTGAGCATGTGGGATCTCTGGCTAGCAGTACAGAGTAACATCCTGGTTCCCAAACTATGCCAAATGTACTGGGGCACACAGTGAATACACAGGGATGCTTTGAGATGTTTAAAAGTTTTGAGACAAATATCTTGGATGTTGCACAAACTATTACCTTGCAATAGCTTTTGGTTCAACTTTAGATCTTGTTCCATTTCTTATGCTGACATCGTATCTTTGTGAAGCTGGCTTTTGATGGTTGCCATGATGATATGCAAGATCCATGCAAGATAAATGTGGACCAGGAAATGAGAATAGCAGTGTTCAATCTGGTTATACTTGAGAAGTGGTGCATTGCCCAATAGGTGTATATCTCACCTTAATAAGTAATTGTGATTAAAGATAGAATACAATTTTTTTTCTTCTTAATTTTCCCGTGCTACCTTTGAATGGCTGTTATGCATTTAGGACAAATACTTTTTAAGTTGTTTGGATCTAACTAAATAATTGAAGGAACTGTTAAGCGCCAGGCTTCGGCTTCTTGGTGCATTATTAATGTGCTAGTCAAGAAAAACTGGATCTCAGTGGCAACTGAGTTGCAAATTCCTAGCTGGTCAGCCTAAAACCCACCAGGCACACACGTGAACGCCAGTATCCAATAGGCTGGAGGACCAGAAGAGCAGGACTGCAGTGTGACCAGACCTTGTGTAGAGTCCTCATCTATTTATCTGTCAATCTCTATCTCTTTCTCATGTGTGCATTCACATGCTCTATTATGAGCAAGGAAACAAAAAACTCAGGCGTGGTAACGTGGTTAAGGTGGCTGGATCCTACATGGCTGACTGGGCAGTTCAAGTCCTGGACCTGGCTTAAAGCTCTGTGTGTGTGTGTGTGTGTGTGTGTGTGTGTACATGCGTGTGTGTGTGTGTATTTGTGTACATGCCCCAAATCCCAAGAGAATGAAGGAGAAGGAATGGAAGTGTGGCCATTCTCCCCGGGGGTGGGGGGGATTTCTTTCTTTCTTTCTTTCTTTCTTTCTTTCTTTCTTTCTTTCTTTCTTTCTTTCTTTCTTTCTTTCTTTCTTT